TTCAAAAAATAGATAGTAAAAGAAAGGACTAGAGCGATTTAATCAAAGTCTGACTTTCTTTATGTGATGAAGAGATTTATTTTAGGCTTTTATTCAAATATAAACATTGATCTATGCATGCACATACATAGAGCATATCAAATATGGAAACCAGAAGCTCAACCGCAATTGCTTGTGTTCTCTATTGCTTTATAAACGTTTTGTAATTTTAGTGGAATGGAGGGACAAAAATCTCTCAGGTTTCATTATATATCTTCATTTGGTTTTCCAAAGAGTTTGGAACGACATGAGGGTGAGTAAATGATGATATACTTATTTTTAGATGAACTAACACTAAATTTTCAAGGTAGATGAGACGGGACTAAAGCATTGGGATGTTTCTGTAATACATCATCCATGATCCAGTGTCATATTAAAGGAATATTTCTCTCTTAATTGAAATTTCTATAATCATTTACTCACCCTCATATCGTGCCAAACCCATAAGAGTTTCGTTCATCTTCGAAACACAAATAAAGATATTTTAATTGAAAGACATTTTTCACCATACACTCAATTTTGGGTGAACTATCCCTTTTAGACCAGAAGATTTCAAGCTACAGTAACGTTACATAGAACTAAAAGGTTGGGATGTTTCACTTTCAATTCGTCCAGCTTCCATAACCAGAAGTGTTATATTTAATGCAAGGGATATGTCACTATAAAAAACGCTAACGTTAACAAAGCATCAACCGTTGTTCTCGCAAACAAAGTTCAAAGTTTATGAAGAAAAAAATATGTATCTACAAACGTCACAGTACTTCTCACAGCTGCTGTCAGTGCGCTAGCGATGTTGCAAAATATCGTCACACGGGCCTGATGTCTTCATGGGTGTTTGATCCCCGGAGGTTTAACTAACACACAAAGTGCTTTGTGTTCATCGAAAGGAGTTTAAACCCTTCAAGCCGCGCTGCTTTTTCTCCTGTGTTGCGGTTAAACCAACGAGCTGCGCCGAACAAGTGCGCAATAACGCTAACGTCAACATTGCAAGCAGGCAACGTGACGCCGCGCGTCAAACCGAAACGTGACGCGTCAAACTGAAACGCGTGTAAACAACCAAGCTGTAACTTAAAGTGTGTAAGAATCACGAATTAGCTCCGTGCGTTATAATTAGAGCGTTCTGGTTTGTTGCGTCGCGTCGCTAGCAGGGTAACTTACATATGCTGCAACTAGCTGTCAGTGCGGCCTGTGTTAAAAAGACAGAAAAAGCCCTCATTGAGCGCCAAAACTGCGCTTTGACTCACCTCCGGTGTTGCAGGGCCTCCCCTCCTTCTCGACTTTCCCCCTGGGTGGATGGAGTTTTCTTCTCCGTGGTAGCGTATCGTTGCCCAGCCTGAAGTCGTTTTTGCTGCCTGTTGTATAGTTAAGTGTAGTCCAGTCCAGCGCTGCTTCCTGTGGAACGTATGCATTCAGCTCGCGTCTGCGCCAACGTCTGAGTGCAGCAACGCGTTACTGCCACCTGCCGGCATGGAGGAACTACAGGAGTGGCCGCACAGGAATACCAAAGACTTTATATATCTTAAAGGGATAGTTCACTCAAAAATGAAAATTAGCCCATGATTAATCGCCCTCAAGCCATCCTAGGTGTATATGACATTCTTCTTTCAGACGAATACAAACGGAGGTATATTAAAAAAAAATGTCCTGGCTCTTCCAAGCTTTATAATGGCAGTGAATGGTTGTTTCTGTTTTGAAGTCCATAAAAGTGCATCCATGATAAAAGTGCTCCACACTGCTCTGGGGGGTTAATAAAGGCCTTCTGAAGCGAAGCGACGAGTGTAAGACAAATATTCATGTTTATAACTTTATAAAGTAAAATAGCTTCCGGCAAAACAACCATACGAATTCGACTTAAGCCTATAAAGCAATTTGTCTGAAAGAAGAATGTCATATACACTTAGGATGACTTAAGGGTGAGTAAACATGGGCTACTTTTTTTATATATATCATATCTGATTTCATATTGTATATCTGATATCATGTTTTTATGTGTATAAATTATGTGTGAATATTCCTAATCTGTCTGAGAGTGCTATCTCTCCATGGGATATGTGATTGTTGTCATATTTATAAAAATATATAAAAACATGTCCGTATTAAAGCAAAAATTATTGATAAACACGTCTTTCAAATGGAATTAGACAACAAGTACTTTTGGTGTCTTGTTCATCACATTTATTTTCATATAAAAGCAACAGAACTTAAATTATAACCAGTTTGTTAGCAACACCGTGCATGAGTGTGTATCACGAGATATCTGCCTTTGATCTCGCAATTCTGATCCACTACGAGAAGAGAGAACTGTCTGTCTTGTCTGCACTCCTTCACTCCTCCCCACATCTCTCATTCGGGCCTATTCTTTCCAGTCATGTGGATGCTTCACTTTGCGTGTCGGAATGTTTGAACCTTCATTTTTATAGCACTTTTAACAATATAGCAGAAGTGATAGGTCTAACATATTTGTAACCCGGAGTCGGCTTTGCATCCTTGGCTAGATGGAGAATACACAAGACCAGATAATAATCTGAGATGTCATCGCTCTGCTGTAGAATTTCAGCGGCATCAACATTGATTACATGTGATAGTATTAGATCTAGAGTATGATTACGAAAATGAATAGGCCCTGACACGTGTTGTCTAACGCCAATAGAGTTCAGAATGTCTTTAAATGACAATCCCAATGCATCTTTTTCGTTATCTACATGTATATTAAAATCACCAACAATTAGGACTTTATCTGCAGCCAATACTAACTCTGATAGAAAATCAGCAAATTATTTGAGTATGGTGCCCTGGTGACCTGTATACCTAGCCAGCACAAATCTCAAATGTGATTTATCATTTACACTAGATAGTGTTACATTAAGCACCAACACTTCAAAATAATTATATTTAAAACAAGACTTCTCAGTAATTCTGAAGATTTTACTATAAATTACAGCAACACCTCCCCCAGACAAGGCTCATGTTTAGCTAGCAGACGGTCGGTTTAGCCAGTCTGTCTGTTTCCTGACCTGAGCCTCAATTCATGTTTGAGCTATAAGAATATGTGCCATATTACTAGAGTGAAGAGCAGCACCATCCCAGGAGGGATGAATACCATCTCTTTTCAACAGGTCAGGTCTGCCCCAAAAACTTTTCCAACTGTCTATGAATTAAAGCAAGTGAACATCCACGGTCCTAGTACTGAGCCTTGTGGCACTCTATTCTGAACTTGTAATCGATAAGACATCTCTTAATTTACTGCTACAAACTGATAATGGTCAGATAAGTATGATTTAAACCATGTTAATGCAATTCCACTAACGCCAACATTATTTTCAAGTCTATTTAAAGGAATGTTGTGGTCAATAGTATCAAATGCAGCACTAAGGTCGAGTAACACTAATTGAGAGATAAACCCAGACCACTACTGGTTTATGGAAGTTCAAGTCCATTTACTAGCATTTCTTTATATATATATAAGCCTATATTACATTATCATATTATTCTGCCATACAAACAGTATAAAATAATAAAATAATTAGAGCAGTTTACTTACATCAAACAACTTTGTTGGTAAATAGTATTATAATAATTGTTGTTGTTACATTTAATTTATTGCCACACTTTAATATGTGATTTATGTGATCAGAAAACCAAACACATTTAGCGTTGTCAGGCTATTGTTTGGATAAAACAATGGAGCTGTGCACTTGGGTTTATGCCTGCTGTAAGTTTTACCTGCCACAAGATGGCACTGTTTTTGACACTCTTTATGCTTCGAATCTTTGCCCGAAACAATCAAAGGAAAGCTTTTAAGATTTAAGAGGCTTCATTTCTCCATCCCCACTCTATAGTTGTATGCCTTTTTGTAAATGTTGCTGCTTTAGAGGGCGTTTACTCATTTTGAGCCTGGTTTTAAAGATTAACTATCTCTAATGTCATTTTTCGTGTGTGCAAAAAGCGCCAAAACCAAAACCAAACTGTAGGACACTCTGAAGTGAAGACCAGGAGACTCAGTTGTATCTTTAGCAGAATTCTTTATTGAGAACATGAGCTGTCGGTTGCCTGTCATCAAGTCTGACTAAGGGAACTTTACATGGTATCTTATAGGCATTCAGTGGGCAGTCCTTAAAAGTGTTTGATCTTACACAGCCTTAGAGGTGACCACTAAAACAAATAATTTAAAGACAATAGGGAATTACCCCTGACTGTTTAAATATTTAGACAGCTGACTTATATTACTTATCTTCTAACCTGGTTAGAAGAGAAAAACACAAATGGTTCATTTTTATTACAGTGTCTTTTAAAATGACATCCCCACACTAATCAGATTTCTTTTCACCCATCCCCTGGCCATGCACTCACATACACATATTCGACTTTACAACACCCAAATGTACATATTTATTTATTCTCACTTTCTCTTATTTTCACAATGTCATGAGTATACACAGATAGATTAATAATCATTTGAAAAATTATGTAAAAAATTAATTAATTAGAGCCCTCTTATGGTACGCACAGTGCGTACAGCCGTAGAGTATAACAGTGTTGGTGAGATCTCATGTAGTAGTTGGGTCAGCGATTGGTTCTAAGGGACAGGTTGTAGGAAGAATGGCACAGAGAACTTTGGAGACACAGTTATCCATGAGGGGAGAGAAGGAAGAGAAGAGTGGAAAGTGTGCTGGGGGAGGTTGGCTGTGGGTGAGTGGGAGATGGTGGAGGATGATAGAGTATAGAGAGGATAATGATGTGAATAGTTTCCCAGTGTCTCAGGAGCTGATTTTGTTTTGGTAGTAAGAGACCTTGTCAACAGAAACACTAGAGGAGAAAGGGGACAGGAGAAATTGATACTTGCTCAGGTCAGTTTGGTATTTTTTCTTGAGCTATTTCATCTCAGCAACTCTGACTTTAGCTCTAATGTTGTGAAGAGCATCTGTGAACGAGGGGCTGGAAGGTGTTGCACATACTGGACTGGAGATGAGAGGACATATCAAGGCAGAGCAAGGTTTGATCTTGCAGGGTTTGTTTTCTTGTGAGGTCGAACGAGGCCAGAAGAGCTATAAAATTGGTTGCTAAGAACATTTCCGATGAGCTTGAAACAGAATTTTCCTCCAGGTGGCGCTTAGAGACTCAGAAAGACAAAACTACTTTTTAGCCGCATTCAAATGTATTTATAGAAACACAAGAGAAGTCTGTGGTGTGTCTCATTTTGACCAAAGTCAACATGTGTGTGTCAACATGTGTGTGTTTCTATATACACACCGAAATTATGATTAGAAGAGAGAAAGAGTTTACAGCAGTGTGAGTTAAAGAGAGAAATAATTTGAGTGTTTCTTTCATTCAACTGTGTCTCAGTTGTTTCTCACAGAAAGCTGCTTAATCTCACACAGAGACACTGAACTACCAGAATAAACCCCAAATCCAGCATAGAGGGGTTCAGTGAATGTGCTGTTGAAACTGTGTAAGTGCGTGAGTGTGTGTGTGTCAGAGACGCTGAAAAAGGACAGAGTGCCGGCCGACCAGTTCAGATACACTCCTACTCTGTTAGAGCGACGTGAAGGGACAGATATTACTGTGATTTTGTCATTGTGTTTGACAGTGAAACCATTATAAAAACAGTTCATACTCCAGGAGTTTTCATTGTATCCAAACACACAGTCATTACTCAATTCTTTCCTGTTGATTCCTTTATATGTCACTGATACATAAACCTCCCTCCCGCTCCATTCAGCCTCCCAGTAACAGCGTCCAGACAGACCCTCTCTACACAGAACCTGATAACACTTATTAAATCTCTCTGGATGATCAGGATACGACTGCTTCTTTTCCACATGTGTCACTTTCCTGTTCCTCTCAGACAGAGCGAGATGAGTGTTTACTGTGTTTAAATCCAGTGTGAGATCACTTGCATCTGAAAGCAAGGAGAGATTATAACATTTATACAAAAACCCCCAGCAATTAAAGTGTGTGCGTGTGTGTGTGTTACATTTCTGTTGTCCTGTTGTAATCCTGAACTCTCCTCCATGATCCACACTATAAAAAAAACAGGAGAATGAAGATTTTAAACCCTAAATACTTGTGTTACATTTTATTATAAATACATATTAAAAAAAATATAAAAAATAATAATACATTTTTTAAATTCAAAACGTGAAAACTAAAGATTTTGGTTTAAAATGAACATGTGAATGATGACTTTTAGCCACAGGCTTCACCTTTACATTCACTGATCATTTGTGTCTACATCCTTTCATTTGTGCAAGTGTTTTAATCAATAACTGATATTCATCTACTAACTGCAGAAATCTCTTTCTGTTGAACTGATCTGCTTTATTCAGTATCATGAGGTCAAACATTATTTCTTTTGATTTAGAAAGTGATCTCTGCATCTGTATCTTGGATCTGTTTAGAAAAGCAGTAACCTTTGAATTGATGTTGTGGGATCAGAGACTTGAGTCTGTTTCTCAGATTCTGCTATTATGGGTCACAAGCAGCTGTTGAGCTGAATCAAGATCTGTTTTAGTCACAGAGTTCAAGACACGCCCTTATTTTCCTGTGCAGTATGTTCGTGTATATGTGTGCTGTATCCAAGAATGAGTTTTCAGTGACGTTATAGACCTTATGTAGCCCTCTCCCTTTTCAGCACTGCGCTCATTGTGTTCGGTCTTCTTGTTTGTATTTTCACAGCATGAAGGTAAGATCTTACTGATTAATGAATGTTAAAATCTTCCCGTTCTACTGACATTTGTTATGACTTGTGCTTCCAATCAATCAATTTTGGTGATGCCTTTAGTTAACTCTACAATAAGTAAATCCACTTCACCAGCTAATTACTCTTCAACAGCGATGCCATAGAAATATACAGAGTATACAGAAATTTACTACTTCTAAAATGGAAGTTCAAAGACAACATTTTAAAGATGTTTGCGTGCTTGTTTCTCTGGCACTAAAGATCTATAGCACACTGTAAGAAATTGTAGTCTGCCTCGACCCAGATTCCACTCCAAAATATATTTTAGAATGAGCTCATCACCAAAATGGCTTAATTATCATAGAGGTGAAGGAAGTGAAGTTATATTGTTTCTTCACCATTTGGGTTGATCATATCATGAGCAAATGGTCATCATCAATTGTAGAATGGGAATGGGTGTGGGACACAGAGAACCTTCTCAGACAACATTAACATACTTCATTAACATACTTCATTAACATGCTCGGGTAACTCCAATGCTTAAAAAAACAACGTTAAACACATCACTTTTAGTGAATTACAGACCTGTCTCTCTCCTACCATTCATTTCGAAAACACTTGAACGAGTTGCTTTCAACCAAGTATCATCTTTCCTGTCTCTGAACAACCAGCTGGATGTCAACCAATCTGGCTTCAAGAAAGGGCATTCAACCGAGACTGCATTGCTGTCGGTCACCGAAGCCCTGCGGATCACAAAAGCTGCTTCCAAATCATCAGTTCTCATCCTCCTGGATCTGTCTGCTGCCTTTGACACTGTGAACCATCAGATCCTTCTGTCCACCCTCTCATCACTGGGCATCACAGGTACTCCTCTCCACTGGTTTGAGTCCTATCTCACAGGTAGGTCCTTCAGGGTCGCATGGAGAGGTGAGGTATCCAAAGCACATCAACTGACCACAGGGGTTCCCCAGGGTTCAGTTCTTGGACCGCTCCTCTTCTCCATTTACACCACATCACTGGGACCCATCATACAGGCACATAGTTTCTCTTACCATTGCTATGCTGATGACACCCAGCTCTACCTCTCATTTCAACCAGATGATCCCACAGTAGCTGTACGGATCTCAAGCTGTCTGGCGGACATCTCGGCATGGATGAAGGAACATCACCTGCAGCACAACCTGGCAAAGACTGAGCTCCTCATCCTCCCTGCCAATCCGACTCTACAGCACGACTTCACTATCCAGCTAGATTCTTCCTCAATCACCCCCATCAAGGTCAGTCAGAAATCTTGGAGTAATCTTTGATGATCAGCTGACCTTCACAGACCACATCACAAAGACAGCTCGATCATGCAGGTTTGCTATGCACAACATCAGGAAGATCAGGCCTTTCCTAACTGAGCATGCAACACAACTTCTCGTCCAGGCCCTGGTAATTTCTAGGCTTGATTACTGCAATGCTCTTCTGGCTGGACTTCCATCATGTGCAACTAAACCTCTACAAATGATCCAGAATGCTGCAGCTCATCTGGTCTTCAACGAGCCCAAAAGGGCCCACGTCACTCCTCTGTTCATCTCTCTGCACTGGCTACCACTCCCTGCTCGCATCAAGTTCAAGGTGTTGACACTTGCTTACAGATTGACCACAGGATCAGCTCCCTCCTACTTCCACTCACTACTACAAGTCTACATCCCTACCAGAAGCCTACAATCAGTCAATGAGCGACAGCTCGTGGTACCATCACAGAGAGCCTCAAAATCACTCTCCAGAACATTCTCATTCACGGTACCATGCTGGTGGAATGATCTGCCCACCCTCATCCGGAATGCAGAATCCCTGACAGCATTCAAAAGACAACTGAAAACTCATCTCTTCCGTGAGCACTTAACATAAAAAAAATAAAAAATTCTTTCCTTTTCCTTTAAATCCTTGCTTATCTGGCTTATGCTACTCCGAGCAATGTCTGAACTTTGTATTTTGAGCACTTCTTGCGTTGTTTTTGTCTCTTCACGATGACTCGCTTGGTTTAGTCCTCAGTTGTAAGTCGCTTTGGATAAAAGGGTCTGCTAAATGAATAAATGTAAATGTAAATATAAACATACAGACCACAGCTGGTACAACAAGAACAACTTAATTTACATTAAGAGTGGTAAACTGTAACAGGATAAAAGGTTTGAGATTTGGATGTTCTGGGTTCATTCTGACGCCGGTGAACCCAAGGTGCTTCGTGTACTTTGCCACTGCTATGCTGTAATAAACTTCATTTTTGAGATCTTTGACGTCCACATCATTTTTTCTTACATTGGCTAGCCACCCATCGAGGAATTTCCAACAAAAAAATGGGGAAAGGTAAGAAAAAGCTGTTTTCTTTCATTTATGCTGTTTTTTTTTTGTCAGGGAACCCCCTCGTTTAAAAAATCTAGAAAAGGACAATTTTAAGGACAGAAGAGAATTTGGTTTATTCAGTATTAGCAGGAGGAGCCTATTCCGTACAATTTTGTTTAAGATTCTAACGTAACTGAATCAGCCCGAAGCAGTGTGGTAGAAGAGTTGTATTGGAATTGTTGTTTCTAAAGTAATTGAAACAAAGTGCTTAAGTGTAAAGTTTCTAAAGTAACTGAACCTTGGTGCTGGTCTCTTATAATTCTGTTAAGATTCTAAAGTAATTGAATCAACCCGTAGTGTGGTGGCAGAATTATATTAGATCAGTTGTTTCTAAAGTAACCGAAACAAAAGTGTGTGCAGCCTAATTGAAACAGATTGTGAAGTTGTAATAATTCTGAGGAAATTCTAAAGTAATTGAATAAGACCCAACGCAGTGTGGTCACAGAATTATTTCACAACGATTGTGTTTTATCGTGTAGATTAGTGAGTCTGACACCGTGGCTCTGTGAAATTTAAAACAAGAACCCGAAGCAGTGTGGTTTTGCCCGACGTACTGTGGCAGTGTTTTAAATTTGATAAATATTGTTTAAGCCCGAAGTAACTGTGGATAAGTAAACTGTTTTAAGAAAATAACATAAAACCCGACGTAGGTTTTGTCCGACGTACTGTGACTGTGTTAATTTTTTTAAATTGTTTTGCGTAATGAAATTTAAGGCCCAATGGATTGTGGCCATGGTTAAGTTTAGTTAACCATGCTGTAATAAACTTCATTTTTGAGATCTTCGACGTCCACATGATTTTTTCTTACAACACACATATCAAATCACATGACAGGATGATTAGAAGAGTTAAACATACTTGAGTTTGTCCAATCTATAGTTTGGATCAGAGAGCAGCTTGAGCAATGATTGTCCTGGGTGATTGTAGCTCAGATCCAGCTCTCTCAGGTGTGAAGGGTTTAAACTCAGAGATGAAGCCAGAAAACAACAACCTTCCTCTGTCACCATGCAGCCAGATAATCTACACACACACACACACACACACACACACACACACACACACACACACACACACACACACACACACACACACACACACACACACACACACACACACACACACACACACACACACACACACACACACACACACACACAAACAAACAAACATTACATATTCTGGCACTGTAGATCATCTGAAACCTGATTCCTGTAACTGTTTGTCTTACCTCAGTATGTTAAGTTGACAATGTGAACTCTTCAGTCCATCAGAGAGCAGCTTCACTCCTGAATCCTGCAGGTCATTGTTACTTAGGTCCAGTTCTCTCAGTGAGGAATTTGATGGTTGTAGAGATGAAGACAGACTTTCACAGCACTGATCAGTGAGATTACACTCAGCAAGTCTATAACAAAAGACAAACATGGTTCTATAATCAGGAGATTGTACTTTAAAGTAAAGTTTTCTGCACATTGTATTGATCACATGACTAATATTCAATTTTTTCATCAGGAATTCTGCATGTTGACTTACATTCAGCTTAAACTTGTTTCAATTAGTTTGAAACTATGAACCTTTATAAAAGTTTTAACAGTTATTTGACAGCATGATACATGGGTTCCTGTAGCTCAACTGACACTAATAACACCGAAGTGTAGGGTTCAATTCCCAGAGAACACACACTGGGATAAAATAGAAACACTGAACACACTATAAGAAAAGATTAGAATATCTCCCCGCTTTTGTCACAGATTTCAAGGCACATTTTTTTTCTATGCAGTGTGTCTGAGTGAGTAGACACAATATATCACAATATATATCACTATATATAGAGATGAATGTTCATATGAGTGCATGTAAGTATTTTTTGTATCTTAGTGTGTGTTGTCACTGTATGTAATAACTAGTCTCAGCTTCAGGCAACCAGGTCACACACTGTTCACCGACCGGGTGATCAGAACCAGGGCAGAGGTCATCTTTAATTTCATAACCAAATGAATTTTAATCTGTTTTCTTACCTCAGTATGTTGAGTTGACAGTGTGAATGGACACTCTTCAGTCCATTACAGAGCAACTTCACTCCTGAATCCTGTAGGTAATTGTGACTCAGGTCCAGCTCTCTCAGTGAGTTTGATGATTGTAGAGATGAAGACAAACTTTCACAGCACTGATCAGTGAGATTACAGTCAGCACAACTATAAACCAGAAATAAAAATGGTTCAATAAAGAGGAGATGGTTGTTTAAAATATTGTTTTCTGTTAAAATCGTTCTGCTTCCGGTGCGTGAAAAGCACCCAAGGCCTGTAATGGATTGCAACACTGATTTTCAAAGTACAAGGTATGAAAAATCTTTTTTAATCAAAAAAAGAGAGAGGTGAGAGGTATGATTTGACAGAGGAATTGTACTGTATTATTACAAAACAGACACATTCAGTTTAATCTTCAATCACATAAATTAATACTTACAGAGCTTTTCTGAAGTTCAGCACAGCTGGTATCAGTCTCCTTCTACCTTCATCTGATGTGTTGTATTTCTTCAGATCAAACTCATCCAGCACCTCCTCTGATATCTGAAGAATGTAGGCTAATGTGGAGCAGTGAGATGGAGAGAGTCGATTCACTGAGTGATTTTCTGACTTCAGAAACTGCTGAATCTCTCTGTACATCGTCTGATCCTTCATTTCCAGCAGACAGAGGAACATATTGATGCTTCTGTCCGCTGAGAGACAATCATCATCCTTAATTTTGTTATTAATGTAATGTGTGATTTTCATGATGGTCTCTGATTTGTTCACTGTGTGTGTCAGAAGATCCTTTAAGAGTCTCTGATTGGACTCCAATGAGATGCCCAGCAGGAATCGCAGGAAAATATCCAGGTGTCCATTTTCACTCTGTAAGGATTCAGAAACTGCTGCTTTTAATAACTCATACAAAGAGTTTATCCGACTGTAGCGCTGATATCTCTTATTCAGAAACGACTGCAGTGATTTCTTATTCTTGAAAAAATGGCAGTAAAACAGATATAAAGCAGCTAGAAACTCCTGAAAGCTCAGATGAATGAAGCAGTAGACTTTCCTCTGATGAATCACAGATTCCTCCTTAAAGATCTCAGTGCAAATCCCAGAATACACTGAGGCGTCAGTGACATCTATGCCGCTCTCAATCAGGTCCTCCTCATAGAAAATCACATTGCCCTTCATCAGCTGTTTGAACGCCAGTTCGGCAAGTTTCACAATCACGTCTCTGTTGGACTTCAGGAGCTTCTCTGGATTTCTCTCATCGTACTTCTGATTCCTCATGTTGATCTGAGTCAGCAGGAAGTGGATGTACATTTCAGTCAAAGTTTGAGGGATTTCTGTACTGTCATCTTGTTTCAGGAGGTTTTGAAGCACAGTGGCAGAGATCCAGCAGAAGACGGGTATGTGACACATGATGTGAAGGCTTCTTGATCTTCTAATGTGTGAGATGATTCTGCTGGCTTGATGCTCGTCACTGATTCTCTTCCTGAAATATTCCTCCTTCTGAGGCTCATTGAATCCCTGAATTTCTGTCAAACGGTTGATGTATTTGGAGGGGATCTGATTTGCTGCTGCTGGTCTGGAGGTGATCCAGATGAGAGCAGAGGGAAGCAGCTCTCCTCTGATGAGGTTTGACATCAACACACCCACATTCTTCTTCTCAATTATTCTTGAAAAAATGGCAGTAAAACAGATATAAAGCAGCTAGAAACTCCTGAAAGCTCAGATGAATGAAGCAGTAGACTTTCCTCTGATGAATCACAGATTCCTCCTTAAAGATCTCAGTGCAAATCCCAGAATACACTGAGGCGTCAGTGACATCTATGCCGCTCTCAATCAGGTCCTCCTCATAGAAAATCACATTGCCCTTCATCAGCTGTTTGAACGCCAGTTCGGCAAGTTTCACAATCACGTCTCTGTTGGACTTCAGGAGCTTCTCTGGATTTCTCTCATCGTACTTCTGATTCCTCATGTTGATCTGAGTCAGCAGGAAGTGGATGTACATTTCAGTCAAAGTTTGAGGGATTTCTGTACTGTCATCTTGTTTCAGGAGGTTTTGAAGCACAGTGGCAGAGATCCAGCAGAAGACGGGTATGTGACACATGATGTGAAGGCTTCTTGATCTTCTAATGTGTGAGATGATTCTGCTGGCTTGATGCTCGTCACTGATTCTCTTCCTGAAATATTCCTCCTTCTGAGGCTCATTGAATCCCTGAATTTCTGTCAAACGGTTGATGTATTTGGAGGGGATCTGATTTGCTGCTGCTGGTCTGGAGGTGATCCAGATGAGAGCAGAGGGAAGCAGCTCTCCTCTGATGAGGTTTGACATCAACACACCCACTGATGAAGACTCATTCACATCACAAACTTTCTCATCATCTGTGAACATCAGTGTCATGCTGCTTTCATCCAGACCATCAAAGATAAACACAACTTTACACTCCTCATAAATTTTTGAGTCTAGATCTTGAAGTTCAGGATGAAAGTCCAGCAGAAGTCTGTGAAGACTATACTGGTGATCTTTAATCAAGTTCAGCTCTCGAAATGGAAGCACAAACATACAATCTACATCTTGATTGGCTTTTCCCTCAGCCCAGTCCAGAATGAACTTCTGCACAGAGACAGTTTTTCCAATTCCAGCGATGCCTTTAGTAAGAACAGTCTTGATTTTGTCTTTCTCCCAACATACTGGTTGATGTAAGGGGTTAAAGATGTCATTGCAGAAGATTGCAGTGTCTTGTGTTCTAGCTGTTTTCTCCATCTGTAAAACCTCATGTTCTTCATTCACCCCTTCACTCTCTCCTTCTATGATGTAGAGCTGTGTGTAGATCCTGTTCAGGAGGGTTTGATTCTCTTGTCGTTTTGTTCCCTCAAATAATCTCTCATACTTGTTCTTCATGCTGGCTTTGTGTTGTTCTTTGACTCTCTGCCTGATGAAGGCCTGACAGTCAGAGTCAGAGCAGGTCACTGATCTGATCACATCATCTCTCATTACTCTTCAGAAACAGAGAGATCAAATGAGACAAAAATATCAAGATCTATAAAAGCATTTACATATGTTTTCAGCACACCAAACTCTAAGATATAATTTGATCCTACACTCAGACAGACAGGGTTTTAAAAATGAACACCCGCCAACCCATAAACTGGGAACACATAAAATGGGTAAAAATCCACAATGGCAGGTAACGCATATCATCACACTAGCCAATTTGGCGGGTTATGATTATATCACTTTTTCCATGGCATTGCTTTCAGAACCCTTCCCTAAAAGGAGCCTGAAACATTAGAAAAACAAGGTGTAATGAGGGCCGCACACAGAGAGTCTTTAAAATTCAAACACATTTGTTTTCTTTGACAATACTCACTAATTGAAGATTCTCAATTTTTTTAATTCAAAATTCAAGATCTTGATATCTTTTTGAAATGTCTCACTCAAGCCGTGAAATCACATTGTACTCACTCAGGGTCAGGAGTCACTGCTCCATCACTGAATTTAGGGGGAGGATCCATGGATACGTCACTCTTCATAGACACACAGCTGGGTTCTGGAGATGCTGCTTTGTGTGTGTGAACATCTTCCTCCTCCTCCTCCTCCTCCTCCTCCTCCCCCACCTCCCCCTCCTCCCCCACCTCCCCCTTCTCCCCCTCCTCCCCCTTCTCCCCCTCCTCCCCCTTCTCCCCCTTCTCCCCCTCCTCCCCCTTCTCCCCCTCCTCCCCCTTCTCCCCCTTCTCCCCCTCCTCCCCCTCCTCCCCCTCCTCCCCCTTCTCCCCCTTCTCCCCCCTCTTCTCATAGAGACTCATTTTACAGGCAGTACTACTGAAACAGAGAATTGAAATGTACAACAATTTACAACTTTATATATACAAAATGAAACATTCAATAAAATTATGCATGCCTTCAGTGTGCTTTACCAGTTTCAGCATGATCGTGAATTCTTCTCTAATCTACAGAATACTAAAATTATTAACAGAAACTATCATTCATTTACTGAGTGAAAGACAACAAACAAAGATGCTTTTGTCAGTTCAACTCACTGTTCAAAGGTTTAAGAAACTGCTAATCAAGAAATCCTGAGTGTATAATTCTATTTAAGACTACTCAAATAAAAAAGCCAGCAGCCAAAAAACTAACTACAGAGAATACAACATCAAAACAGACTGACATTGAAATAGATTGTAAACGATATTTACTCATGCAATTGAATATTAAAGGGGTAATGAACTGAGAAATACAATTTTGACATATAAGGTCAAACAGTGCAAGTTTATCTGTGATCTGTTCTGGACTCTCACCAAAACTTCCGTTATAATAAACGAATCTCTTATTTACATTGTGTTTGCACTGTTGTTAGTTATGATGAAAGCATTCGTTAGTGTGCAGAAATCGCGTTGCATGAGGAGATCACTGCATTCATGCACTCAACGGACCCTATCATGCACCCGGCACACTGCAGCCCGACGCAGTTATCATTTTTACATCCTCCACCACATTGTTTAAATAGAAAATTCATTTGAGAACAGAACCTCAGAATCCTCAGAACGTAGGCTCACTATAAACTTATGGTTGAGCCACTTGGACTATTTTAACGAAGTCTTTAATAACTTTTTGGGCTGGCAAGTTTCAATTACAATAGAAGCCTATGGAGGAGTGAGACAGCTCTCAGATTTAATACAAAATATCTTAATTTGTGTTCCGAAGATGAACAAAAGTCTTACGGGATTGGAACAACATGAGGGTGAGTAATAACTGACAGAATTTTCATTTTTGGGTGAACTAACCCTCTAAAGGGATACTCCACTTTTTTTGGAAATAGGCTCATTTTACAACTCCCCCAGAGTTAAACAGTTGAGCTTTACCGTTTTTGAATCCATTCAGCCGATCTCCGGTTCTGGCGGTACCACTTTTAGCATAGCTTAGCATACATCATTGAAGTGGACAAGACCATTAGCAATTCTAAAAAAAAAATGACCAAAGAGTTTCGATATCTTTCCTATTTAAAACTTGACTCTTCTGTAGTTACATCGTGCACTAAGACCGACGGAAAGTGTAAAGTTGTGATTTTCTAGGCTGATATGGCTAGGAACTATACTCTCATTCCTGCGTAATAATCAAGAAACTTCACTGCCGTACCATGAGAGCAGCAGGCGTAATGATATGACGCAGCGCCTGAAAATAGGCCACCTTCCGTCAACACAACGGAACTATTTTCAGGCGCTGCGTCATATCATTACGCCTGCTGCACTCATGGTACGGCAGTGAAGTTTCTTGATTATTACGCAGGAATGAGAGTATAGTTCCTAGCCATATCAGCCTAGAAAATCACAACTTTACACTTTCCGTCGGTCTTAGTGCACGATGTAACTACAGAAGAGTCAAGTTTTAAATAGGAAAGATATCGAAACTCTTTGGTCATTTTTTTTTTAGAATTGCTAATGGTCCTGTCCACTTCAATGATGTATGCTAAGCTATGCTAAAAGTGGTACCGCCAGAACCGGAGATCGGCTGAATGGATTCAAAAACGGTAAAACTCAACAGTTTAACTCTGGGGGAGTTGTAAAAAGAGCCTATTTCCAAAAAAAGTGGAGTATCCCTTTAAGAGAATAGGGACATCCCTTTCAGACCATTAGCGCCGGACACGGCGACCATTTTTCCCATCGTTAAACTAGCAAAAGTGGATTCGGACACACCCTGAGTACCTTTGCACCGTGCGCTTTAGACCATGTGCTTAGATTGTTAAAATAGGGCCCAACATGTCTGTGATCGGCTACAATGCTCATCCACTGCAAAATTTCATGCCATGATCTAAATATAATGCTATAGATCTAGACTAAATATAATGCTATTATCAACACTTTTCACGATTAGTTAACCTTGAGAGCTTAAACGTGCTTAAAGTTTTCGAGAGCTCCACATGTAAAACTAGCCATTTCATCTGCAAAGATGTTAGTCAATCACAGAAGTCTCACAGCAGACACGCCCCTTAAAACAGAGCGTTCAAATCCGAGGCTAAAATCAGGATAGGAAAAATGCCTTTTATTTCTACATGACAATTTTGATGTAAAAATCATACTAACATTATAAGTGCACCCCAGGAAACATTATGAAACCATAAAACAATGCAGTTCATGACACCTTATACAATGCATGAGAATGAATCCAGAAATGAATTGGTTCAAACCTACCTCTGTCTCAACAATGAAGAACATCAGACACAAACTTCATTCAGTTCATAAATCCATTCAATCTCTAGACAGCAGGATTAAACTGATCTGATGTTCTCAAACTGATTTATTCACATTTTCTTTCCTATTGTTGTTCACAATCTTCCTGTAACAAAATGGAGTCTGTTGAAATAGTTTCACTTTCGACAGTGTCACATGACCAGTGAGTAGGGGTGTAACAATATATCGTGTCACAATATATCGCGATACAAAAATGCAACAATATGTATCGTGGATAGCGACAACATTTATTGTGTATAGTTCACCCAAAATAAAAATGACTGTGTGAGAAAAAAATTCAAGTTTTCAGAGTTTTAGTGTCAGTACTACATTAAACTACTATATAGGCTATAAGGGTGCCAGAGGACTGATGCGGAGCCGGTTGGAAGGCAGAGCCCGGTGGAGCCGAATGGGTGAAGGGTGTAGACCAGAAGTCCATGGTGCAGGCAGAGCCACAACTGACCAATGCGGAGCTGTGAGGACGATGGCCCCAGGTGGAGCCAAGAGAGGGAGGAGCCAAGGTGGAACCCAAGGAAGATCCACAAAGAGTGTGAATGCACTGAGGAATAGCCAAGGGTATAAATGAAGTCTGTCACTAGTGTTTACTCTTCAATACGTTGCCCATGATTTTATTTAGGTCATTGTGCTGAAACTAAGTAGATATTCTACTAGAATAAGGTGAGTAATAGCCCCTTTCGCATAACGAGACAGTAATGTTTGGTGAAACTACCGTCGTCCACTGTTAATATTGAAATTTTCAGGAAGCAATAGCTAGAATGACATGTTATATATTTGTATATTATAAAAATACTTATCTAGACTTGCATAATTATTTTTGGATTGCAATACTTTAGGAAAGAGCTTTGCCGCTACAATTATGCTATTGTGAAGTTGCTGGTTGAGATTCTACCGGAAATACTTAAGCAGCGTTTGTGGAGAGTCTATTGTCATATAACATATTAAGGACTTAGATAAGATACTTTATGACTTTATATGGAGAAAAAAAAGCCTCAATTTAAAAAAAAGGAGGTAATATGTAACACCAAAGAAGATCAAGGGGTAGTTGAGGTCTTACACTTAATTTCACCTTCAAAATTAAATGGTTGATTGAGTTTTTGAAGAATAGAGAAAGTCTTTGAAACGTATTTCCTAATGATATATTTAATACTCTTGGAGGCATAGACTTTTTGTTGAAATGCAATTTTTCTGTTGACAAAACTCCTGTTAAATTGGCCAGTTTTCACAGACAAGCCCTGCTAGCATGGAAATTGGTATATTGGTTGGTTACATACTTGGTTCAATGAAGGGATTATATTAGTAATACAATTAGTTATTCCAATGGATATTTGTTATCATATACTGAATTAAAAATTTAAATTACCAGTTAAACCAAGAGATTTTGCTATTGCTTTTGATGCGATTCCAAAGAGTGTGATGTTACTCTTAAAGTCAACATGGATGATCTTTGTGGTAACATTTTCATTGATAATGTTAATGTTTTAAAACAAAAATGTAGCAATAAAGATATAAGCTCTTTGTTCTGTGTCTTTTCCTGCAGCAAGATTCTTTTGGTCTTTTTTTATTTGGTAATATATCTTGGGTCGAAGCATGGAAATTGTGTGTCAATAACAAAATTAAGGAAGTGTCTTACAAAATACTTCTCAGATTGTATCCTGCTAAGCATGTTTTGGAAAAGATTTAAGCTTAATATTTCATATACCTGTGAATTTTGTGCACTAGAAAAAATTAACTATTTTGCATCTGTTTTTTAAATGTATACTCAAGATTACTTTGGAAAGAAACCTTTACTAGAGAACTAAAGTGTTTGATATAAAGTTTTGAATTTGATGTGCTTTTTTATACTCAGAATGAAATTTTGGAATGTAAAGAGCAACATATGTTATTTATTATACATAAAAAGAAGTGGGCTCAATGCAAACCAAAATTTTCACATTTTAAAAATGACAAATCTTTTGGAACAAACAAAAAAGCGCTGAAAACATGTAATGCTTTGAAAGCACTGGATTTTATGAAATTTTTCTATTTTATTTCTATTTTGTTTATTTATTTATACAGCTAATGTTACAGTTTTTTACAATCACTTTGCTACTATTTTCAGAACCTTGATGTCATTTTTCAAAACTCTAGACACAAAACTCAAAACGATAATCACTTGTAACACAGGCTGTCTAATGTTCAAAACATTGCATTGTGCATTCACATCTTTAAAGAAATCTTGCACTTGCACAATCATTGGTTCAAAAAACAAATTAACTGTGAAATACCATTGAAACATAACTATAGATCACCCACACACAAGCAACCGATAGTTTCACTGTGTCATTGTTCGTACAATCATTAAATATTGTAGAGCAAAATAGGTGATACAGGTTTCATTATGGTACTAGATGTACAGTAAATACATCTCTGTAAAAGTACTGCAGTAGTAGAGAGAATATTACAGACACAGTGGAATCATTGTGAACAAAGTTTGTAATATATTGATGCAAAACACTACAGTACAATCACAACATGGTTTTTTGAATCAAAGCAAAAATAATTAGCTATGAAATAGAAAAGAAAAGACAGTACTGTAAAACATCAAATGCAGTGTTCCTCAACTTGCTGTAAGAAACTAAACAGGAGTGATTACTGTACTTCTACACTGTCATCAACTCTGTGTTGTGGATTTGGCCACAGGTTCTCATCTACATCACAATGGATGTTGGAAAATGACATCTTGGAAAAAACCTTTGGCATGGCGAGTCCAGGCCTGACACTGCTCTGCTGTGATTGGCAGAATTGGACACGCAGTTACAAGGGCCTGCATCTATACAGTACTGTACTGTCAATACTGTACATAGTCTGAAAAGGTGGTACAGTATTTGGCACCATAGACACAGTGTCTGATGAAGCATTACAGTATGATAAAATATTAGGCTACATCCATGGATATTGTAGTCTAATTGGTTCATGCCATGCTAATTGGTGACAATGAATCTCATTATCTTGAAACTTTCATGATTTACTGTAAACATGGAAGATTGTGTGTCTGTTTCCATACAACTATGCATTAAGAGTAATGCAACAGTTACTTATCATTTTGAGCAGTTGTATCAATTGATAGTTAGATCATTGTAAGGAAATGAATAGACACTCATTTGAAATGTAATGTGTGAATTGCCTTTTGAAATAGTAGTACTTTGATGTTAAGTTGTGTCATATTGAACAGGTGATCTTTGTTGAATGAACAAATGATCTAAGTTTTATGTGTATTGTATCCAAGCAATTGAGAAAAGGGTTAGAGTTTTGAAAAATGTGCTTTTTGATCATTGGTTGTGAGTTTTGTGTCTAGAGTTGTGAAAAATTACATCAAGGTTCTGAAAATAGTAACAAAGTGATTGTAAAAAACTGTAATGTGATCATGTGAATGTGTAATACCTCTTATTCTCAGGGCACTGAATGAAAAAAAAAAGGTCATACTATCACATAAGTGCTACAATGCCAAAAAGAGTCCTAAACAGTGATCTGGACAAGTTTTAATGGGATTCCCCCTACAATGCGTTTTAATATTGCATCAAGTTGCATCCACATATCAATTTGTCTTCTAATTTGTAAACACTAGATGGCACTGTTGCAGTTAGCCAAAACAACGCCAAACCTGCAGTGGTCCATTTTACAGAAGATCGGTTCAGTATTATTAACTGTCAGAGACTCAAGAGTTGAAACCTATCTTGCTTAATATAATTGTACTACAAAAATTTCTGCTATACAGTTCGGAGCCACAACTCTGTATTTATCTCAAATTTAGTAAGGTTTTAAATATTTGCTTTAAACAAATTTGCAAAACTATTTTCTACAGGGGATCTAAATTCTAACGTTATGCTGAATCAACTGGTCAGTCCTTTCCTTCAAAATCATTTTCATTAGTTGTGTTTGATAAGACGTGTGTTTATTACTATTGTATTGCCCCTACAAAATATTTGGAAAAAGATTATGAGCAACTCCTAACATCCAGCATCAGTGCAGGATAATATATGGCCTTACATTAGACCATTTATGCTTTATAAAAAAAAATGCATATTTTTATTCAAAGGCATATGAGGAGAGCTTCAGTACTATATTAGAAAACCATATGTGAAATCAGGAGTACATACTGTATCTTTTCATTCTCTACCCCTAAAACAAAAAACACTAAAACTATACCATACTAAGATTTTGACATTAAGATTTAATGTTGTTTAAACACGTGCTAGATACACAAACCATTGATGTAGAAAGCATTAAACAATTACATTTTCATTTGTCTCAGCCTTTTAGGATTGAGGCACACAACTCGACAAAGCAAATAACTGGACAAATTTAAAGGGAATGGAAAATAAATCTTTTTTTATAAACAGATTTTTTTAAAACCACTCCAACTCCATATGATTTAATATTATTTTATCCCTATATTTTATATAACATTATCCCAATAACCGTTTATTGTATTCCTTTTATTTATTGATTTGCACATAATTTGATCTCAGTGTGTAATGGATTTGTTTCCATTTCTGGGCCCATGGCTTCTGACTGGTCAACATCCGAGATCTGTGATACCAAACTTTTTAAAATTCAATAAGATACCGAAACTTTTTGTAACAATTTTAATGATACCGGTACTGATTATTTCTTTAATGGGTATATGATTTTTTCAAAATAATTTTCATTCACACATGCATTTATGTATCACTCTCCACAACGTCAGACACATAACGGTAATTAATATGATCTGATTAGCCTTTTGCTTGACTATGTTATCAAACCGCTAATAATGTGTTTCTAATGTTACACAAACTATGTTCCCGTTCGCCATCACAGAGTCAGGCAGCTGCTTTCTAACAATCATCAGAAACGCTTTGAATGTCAGTGGAGAAAGGCATATAATTCATAATAACATCGTAATATATATTGCTAAATGTACCCGATTTTTCATATCAACAGAAAAATATACCAGAATAACCTGGCATCTCGAGACTCCCCTGCTTTGCAGTAGTTAATGATATGCTAAAGCCCGCCCTCCTCTAATAACTAAGCCCGCCCTCCCATAACTATGTTTTCAGTGGTGTATAAAGACCTTACATAATGAACCGTTATGTTTTTATTACCTTAGAATGAGACATTTCTATCTACATACACACGTCCCCTAACCCTACAGTGGCCCTAAACGGACAAACTACAGAGAGCGTTTCGTCACTATGTTGTTCTTCGTGCAAAGAGGATAGCTAAAGTCAGCGAATAAAACACTGACACAATGATGAACAAGCAACAATAATATTTGCAATAACATATCGTTTTACTGAATAATAAAGTAAACATAATTTCTTAATTTATCTTGGTAAAGAAACCTCATTGCTTAACTGGCTACCCTCTGCTGTCTCCGACGACGACATCTTTTCCTGTCGGCCACCGTAACTTTTGTTGGTTGCAATTCCCAACCTCACCACTAGATTCAGCTAAACATCACTGCATCTTTAAAGCACCTTAAAAACACCACATAGACATATTAACAACATTAAAAACTTGATTTATTACTAACATAAATATAAAATAAACTAAAATACCATGTATCAAATATCGTTTCATATCAGTTTAATACAGAAGTTAGTGTCTCTGAAACTCAAATTTTATATAATATCATTTTAATATCAATATATTTTTTTAAAGTATTGATACCTTTAAGTAACTAACTTGTGAGCCTCGATACATCGATACTGCAGTATTGATATGCCCATCCTTAATAATAACAGCTATGGAGGGCAACACCTGTTGTTCACCATTTATGCTGAAGGCCCACTGAAGGTTAATGATATACAGCAAAATAGAGTGAGCTTTGGTGAAAACTAAGCAAATATTTACTAGTAGTCATTTATCGCTGGAAATGACATTATAGAAGTGGAAAACGTTGGTCAAAAACGTACATTTACACCCAAACTGACCAGCAACCGCAACTTTTAGACGCCATCTTTCTATTTCTAGCTCATCTGTCACCGAATGGAAAGCACAGGATTGTGGGATATAATAGGCAGTGAAGGATACATCTATGCTGCCTTCAAAAAGGTCTCTCAGGAGACAGGAGGCTTAAGCTAACATGGAGTCGTCCAAAGGCAGCATTTATAAGTTTTCGGATGCAGCCGTAATTTCCACTGAAACAGGAAGACAGGACATATGGAACAGCTCCTCCCTTTTTTAAAAAAAATAGCCAATAGCGTTTCATTTCACAGCTCGGCCAGAGCAGTTTCTTCCTATTCTCCTTCATATTGCTTTAAAATATAGCATCCTGGGAAGAATTTAAATGGGTCCGATACGTTTTGTGGTCTACGGCTCTGCGCCGACTCGATCATATGATCCGTGTATCTGGTCTCTGGACCGGAGCAGACTGTGTGGCGCTGCGGCGGTTCACATGACACCACACTTCATTCGCCCCAATGGAAAATTTACACTGTCCGAATCGTTCCCTATCCCCTAGTGCCATTCACCATGCAGAAAATAGTAAATGTGCGACAAAAATGACAGATTTTAGCCGCAGCTTCAGCGTCTATTTATAATGTAGAGGGAGGGACTTCAGATTCTAGAGAGCATTTGATTGGACAGAAAATATGATAAGAAGCTGAGGTGCAGAGTGATGTCATCAACACCGTTGCTCCATATTGGCAGAAGTTTTGAATGCTTATTTTTTTCTAAATGTAAATTTTGTCATTGTTTTGGAGCTCACTAAGCTTATAGATAAACATAAGACGAACATATTCATACTAAAAGCCAAACAAATTCCATTTTGATTTCAGGGGGACTTTAATAAATTGGCTTTATTTTAAGGTGTCATTGTTACAGTGTTATACATTTATATACTGAGTAATAATAATTAACTACATGCACTTACTATTGGGATAGGCTAGGATTAAGGTTTGGTTTAGGGTTAGTTGCATGTAATTATGCATAATTTACTGTTATTACTGTGGTAAGTACATGTAAGAAATGTAACAAGGACACTGTGAAATAAAGTGTTCCCAAAAGTTTTTTGCTGCATTGTGAATATAGTCACTCAACTGCTGGCCATAACAACACACTATAGCTGTCACTATGTTCATAATATAATAAACCATATAATATATATGTTAAAATCAGTTAAAACTTGAATTAAACAAATAAATAGGCTATATATGATGAAAACAAATGGTGTCTCTGCACTGACTCCTGTCAGTGCGATCTTTAGGACCCAGGGGAACTCGAGCTCATCCATATAAAGACTGCAGATGAGGAGGAGAAAGCAAGTGCATAGAGTGCTGGAAAATCAACAGTCTCAACGTGTCGTTTCGCTTTTTAAGTAGTCTTACCGCAGTCGTATTAAAACGGCTGGCAAGATGCAGTATAATCGACATCGAGTCCGCATGAAAGGTTTTTACTGGTGATTTCTCCATCCTCCTCACAATCTTGATAGATGACTTCTCGAAGCGGGGACACAACTGGACACGTTGGACTTTTATTTATCACTCTGCTCCAAAAAATAACATTGTGAAAGGATATATGACACGAGACCAGAAATTATCCGTCGTTCAGATGAACATTTACTGACTGCTACACCAGCTCACCTTGGAAGGTAAGTTACCAGTCAGATCACGAACTTGTACAGCAAATGAATGATTGCACCAAGATGACATCAGTGAATCACAGGCTTTCTGAAGCCTGGCAACAGAAACCTTTCTCAAGTCTGTTGTTTGTGCATTTTACCCAGAGATCACTTGATGCGCAGGTTGATTGATTAATGACTGTAGCAGAGACATATTTTCATCTGCTAGTCAATAATCATAATGAGAGATAGTGGAGGATCATTAAATAATTAAACTTGCATTTATGTGGTCAGTTATGTTGGTTATATGACATATTTACAAGTCATCTAATCATTGTTTTGTGTCTCAGTCGGATTCGTGAACGGATCCCGGACGCAGAGCTGTTTTTGTTTGCTTGGAATGTTCAGACCCTTTCCATGCATATTTGCTTAGGATTCATGTTTTGGTCTTATAACATGATTTTGTATGTTATGAAATAAAATTGAATTACTGTAAGTGTTTTAGAAAGAATAAGAGTTCAAATCCCAAACAAACTGTATTACTGAAAACCTATAGCCTAGTGAATCTAGTGCTGTCAATCGATTAAAAAAAATAAGTAATCACACATTTTTCTGTAATTAATCGCGATTATTCGCACCTAACATCAAAGTTTTCATAATTTCACATTTAATCTCCAAATAATGTAGAAACAACATAAAGACAGTATCCTATATTTTAAATATTTGTTTAAAGGCATCTTTTTATGAAAGAAGCCCATGTCACCGATACCAATATCGCTTCAGTCTCTATGGAATTAATTCCCCCCCCCCCCCCCCCCCCTCAATTTTAGCCATTATAGCCATTCATCATTACAGTATAATTAAAAGCTATCAATTTTAACATTTATTAGACTTGAATACAACAACTTTTAATTTAATTAAACTTAAAAAAATCTTTACATAAACCCATTATAAATGTCACATTTATCTGTGACCTTCAATATATCAGGGCTCAATTTTTCTTCTATTGGCCCAGTCAGACCAGTTAAGATTTTCACTTGCCCTGTCAAAATGCACAAAAAAAATAAATTGTTTTTGTTGTTTCTAACCCATGTAACTTCTAACCCATGTAACCATGTAAACAGCTTCAAGGTCGGTCAGGTAGGTCTAACAGGTAGGCTATATACAGTAATTGAATTAAGTTTTCAAACACTTCACAGTCTTCATTGCATAAATTATGAATTAAATATAGATTCATCCTTATTAAAGCTACAAATGTTATTCAGTCAAGAGTTGTGAGTGATTTTCTCTTTTTTTTTATTTTTTATGATCCTTAATGACAAACAGCAGCAAGTTTATTAAGCTGCTGTCACTTTCAGACCTGCCGTGCCGCACATGACACGAATCTGACACGCATCCCATTTTCACAACTCTACGTTAATTTAAGACGTAATTTAACTCATCTGAGACTCTGCATTCGAGTATACTCTACAAAACGGGCGTTTTGGCATAATTTTGTGTGTTTTTGTCCATTCAAGCGCTGTCTGAAGCGGCTTTCTGTGCGCACGAGTCATGTGTGTGTGTCACACAGACAGGAGATTCACAGATGCGCGCCAGTACCGCACTGCATGCCGTTTTCTTTTGTGTCACGCTTAATAAGAATGCATGAATAAGAGTGTGATCTTATATTGTAACATTAGCAAAAAGATGACAGGGAAAAAAACAGATGCTGCGTTAATTGCTTTAAATACTGTATATTTAACACGTTAAATTGAAAAAGTTAATTGCACGCGTGTTAATTTTGACACACACTAAGTGAATTACGTAGAGAACAAAGTGTTACCGTACATTATAGAAAAATGGATTTAAAAATGTTATTTCAACGAGTAGGGCATACTTTTCATGCTAATAATAATAATAATCAAGCACACCACACAAGCAATGAGAGTGATGTACTGAATAATCACGGCCCTGTGCTGTTATTCCGTACAACAGCGCCAGTTTAACTGATTATAATAACCACCACTTACTGTTAACTACACATGACATTTGAAGCAGGAATATATTGCTGGGCACATTAATTAGTGCTAATGCGAAGCATCGCCTTTAATGTACAAAAATCGTACGTTGCTCTTTAATATTTAAGCTTTTTTTGTTTCGGTACATTAGAGGCAGCAGCACTAATTATGTGCCTGACAGTATTAAAGGGATAGTTCACCTAAAAAAAAAAAAATTCTGTCATTATTTACTGTCACCCTCATGTCGTTCCAAACCCGTAAGACATTTGTTCATCTTCGAAACACAAGTCAAGATCTTGTTGATGAAATCTCAGAGTTTTCTGACCCTTTTTCTGACCATTGACAGCTACCACTTTCAAGCCTCAGAAAGTTAGTAAAGACATCATTAAAGTAATCCATATGACTCCAGTGTAATCCATATATCCTCAATTTTATGAAGTTGGAGTGCTTTGTTTGGGCGAAAACCCCCCCCCAATAATTTACAAAATATTAATCTCCAACGTGCAACAATATCTGCTCTCTCGTCAACACAACACGCATATTTTATTAATTTTTTGTAAATAAAGTAGTAAATTGTGTTACTTTTTGGTGTTGTTTTTTTGCACCAACAAAGCACTCACGTCGCTTTAAAACTAAGGTTAAACCACTGGAGTCACATGGATTACTTTAATGATGTCTTTACTACCTTTCTGGGGCTTGAAAGCGGTAGTTGCGAAGACTGTCAATGGAGGGACAGAAAGCTGTCAGATTTAATCAAAATGATTTTCATTTGTGTTCTGAAGATCATTGAAAGTCTTACGGTTTTGGAACAACATGAGGGTGGCATTTTTTTGGTGAACTAACTGTTTAAGGCTGTACTGAAGACAGAGCATTTGACCAATCAGATGAAAGGGGCGTTTCAGCGCCACCCACATGTGTGAATGAAATATCGAAGCCATGAACCGATTTGTAAACCACAAACAAAAAATGAGAAATCGAGGCAAAATCTCATGTTCTGTTTGTTAAACTAAACGAAACAATAAACAAACAAACAAAAAAACGAAACGAAACGAGTTGTCTTTCCATTTCTCGTTTTTTCTTTTCAGACGGTATATCAAACGTGTAACCGACTGTTGTTTTCAGTTCTATATTTTTTTTAAAGATTGGAGCAATATGTTAGTTACCCAACAACTCAATCAGCAAACAATTGTTTTTGGAATCGATTTACAACCCTAGAAAACATTTAGGCTGATATAATATACAAAAGACAATTAAGTATCAGCGAATGAGTCGTACACAAACTTGCTGAACTGAAAAGAAAGCTTATCTTACGCAACATTTACTCAAACCTCACTAAAACACAAACAAGAAATGTTTATTATCAATTGACAAAGCTGTCAGTAGAATTTGGGGATATAAACCCTTCTGTCTGAAACCGCTAAATATTGTACGATTACATGGCCTTGCCGAAATATCGGTCTATCGCTAGTGTTTAATGTTTCCTGGAGTCTTTAATGTGGTATTGATGTTTTCACACTAGCCCTGTTAAACTGATGTATGTTTCCTTGGAGGGTATCCAGTGCTGTTTAGCGTATCTAAAACAGTGTAAAATCTGAGGGCCAAAGTGCTGAGATCAGGTATTAGAGTTCCTACACTTTAAAGTACCACTGCAAAGTGTAGGAACGAAGCATCTAAATGTTTACAGGACACTGCTGATGGTGTGATGGATTTTTCTGTGCTCATGGCAGTAGACTCGAAATCAGATTAAGATGCTGCACACCCATTAGTGCCCCCAGCAACGGACACCGCTGTTATTCGGCACACTGCTGAACTTAGCAGAAAAGAAAGTTTGTGTATTCGGCAACCTGGCTGTAGGGTTTTAGATAACACGGTTGTGCAGAGCTCTGCAAATTGATGGCCTAGACATGCATTTTATTAGAGCAACCAACAGTCACATGATTGAGAAACAACAATACAATGGTCTTTTAGACTTCAGAGGAAAAAACAAACTAAGTTGGTATGAAGACTATACTAATCTCTGACAGTCTGAGAACATCAGAAATTTGTCTATGCATGGTCTATATTTGTCTGAAAAAAATTCTAAAAATATTACATTTATCTTGGTCTTAAATATTCACTATACAAATATTAAATTCAATTTCAATTCAGAGTACAGTTTTTCTATTAACTTGAATATTTTTTTTGTCAGATTCAAATTGCATAAATAAAATTAAGCCTGATTTTAGGACCTTTCAAAAAAAAATTAATCTCATTAAACTTTTTTTATAATAGTTAAGCACATTTTTACCCAGATTATCATTATAGACATGTGTGTTTTTATATGCTGTATACTTTTTGTAATGCCAGTTATTAATAGTCAGCGTGGATTCCATTAGATTTTTGTTGTACTTTTTTAAATTTATGAATTATTCATATTATTTTTTTTAAACATATGGCAGTCGTTAGAAATATTTTTTTATGGTACAGAATTTAAAATGTAATTATGAAAGTTGGGGAGGTACATTAAAAAAAATGGCTAAACTAATTGCCCTGTATAAATACCAAGTTCTGGCATGAAACTCTAGATGGCGCAGGCTGATGGGTCCTTAACGCAACCGGATGACATTTACTTCGTTTACTACATGGCACAAGCTGATTGGTTCCTTTTGCATCTGCAGCCGATAAGCCTGCCGCTCAACATTCAAATAGCTGGCTATCGTTTACTATAGCAGTTTCCTCTGAAACCCTCCACCTTCCCCAGCTCCACCTGTATATATCTGCCAGGGGTTATTTTATAAGCTATTTGTGCAGCAGCATTATGTTTTACATGCTCACAGCAGCGTATCTGTGTTTTTATAGACCAAATACATTAACATTGTCATATCCATTACCATGCTAAACATCTTCAGTGAGTTGTCATGATAGAAATAGACTTAAAGGAGAACTCCGGCGCAAAATGAACCTTTGGTCTAATAAAACATTGGTACCTAGTCAACCGTTCTCTGAGATTTGTTTTCATGATAATCGAATGTAAAGAGTTTTATCTCTAAAAACTGTTTAGCGTATAACGCTAGTAATGGGGGCATATAATAAGTAAAAAGAAATCACTATTTTATACCACTAACAAGGCTCAAAATAGCCCCACACGAACACAGTAACATAATGAGGGTCTCTACATGCAAAACGAAGCATTGAGAACTTTGTAAGTGTACAGACCGTTTAATAAGAAGATAAAGATAAAGACAGTCCACTTCGTGTATACAGACAGGAGCCATCTTTGGAAAACAGTCTCGACTAATCAAACCACGAACGCCATTCATACAGTTCAGCTCACTTAGCACGTCGTTCGTGGTTTGATTAGTCGAGACTGTTTTCCAAAGATGGCTCCTGTCGATTTCTTTTTACTTATTAAATGCCCCCATTACTAGCGTTATACGCTAAACAGTTTTTAGAGATAAAACTCTTTACATTCAATTATCATGAAAACAAATCTCAGAGAACGGTTGACTAGGTACCAATGTTTTATTAGACCAAAGGTTCATTTTGCGCCGGAGTTCTCCTTTAATTTTCTTTGAGCAAAATATAATTACAATTTTCTTTCTCTTGATTCTGGGGTGAAATATGATCCAGACATGCTCTTGACAGGTTTTGTGAGATACATGGTTTGTGTGACCTCAAATTCTTCCATCACAGTTTTTATAACCGTCGGTGATGTGTATTCTTGCAGGAAGAAGGGGAGTGACTCTTGAACCTCATGCCTCCACAAAGCCATTCATGAGGCAAGCCTTCCTCCACACCAACAGACCAGCATGGAGAAAGGGCTCCGAACACGACTAGAAACAGGAGTGGCAGATGAGAAAGACCATCTTACTCAAGGGAAGAACCCATTAGCAGGGAGCGCTGACTTGGGACATGAATGTTGCAAACGTAATGGTTTGATCAATACCCACAACTTAACGGTGGAGACTAAGGAAGGACTGGTGTCGGTCTATTCTGCTCCACAGTACCAGGGCCACGTGGTGTCCAAGGACAAAAATGGGACACCGGATGGTAGAGGACCCCCACAGTTGCTCAACCCCAGCACCCTTCCCCAGGCTATAGACCCTTACTACAGGCCCAACCTCATTCTCTATCCCGAGAGCGTGTTGAGAGCATGGGGAGAGGGAGGGGACTGCTGTGAGACCACCTTCATTGAGGACATGACCCCTGCCTCGTCTGCCACAGCTGTCACTAAAGACGGGATTTTGTTCTCTGACAGCAGGCTTCTGGATCTCTCTATGGAAGACGCCAAGATTCAGACACTGTCCTATGATGTAGATGACGACGATGATGAATTTCAAGAACTCGAGGTGAGAGATCGCATACTATTACACTTTTAAATATAGTTCACCTGGTTACTAACTCACTCTCATGTCATTCCAAACCTGACTTCCTTTCTTCTTACAATGAAAGTCAATGGTATAGGGCTGCACGATTTGGGGGAAAATGTCTAATTGGATTTTTATGATAATGATTTTTATGATTTTATGATCATTTTTATCAATAAAAAACCATTGCACACCTGCAGATAATAGGTGCGTAGGAAAAACGACCAAAAAAGATCGGTCGACAATCTGCAAACGAGAAACTCCCGCACAGTATCAGAACTTGCATTTAAAAACTCTTTATTAGGAAGATGATCATTTTTATGAAATTGTGATTGCGAGTTAAAATGCGATTAAAAATAAAAACTCTATGTTTGCTTTGCTTGTTTGTCTGCACAATTTGGCCAAAACATCTGTGATTATTAGGGGTGTACCGGTACATGTATTCGTATTGAACCGTTTCGGTTCGAGGCTTCCGGTTCGGTACGCATACAAACCGAACGATTCCTTGGACCATTTTTCCTGCCAACAAAATTCGCGCTGGCGCGACCACCACAACGTTGCGCAACATCAAATGGCAAGCGTAATGAAAGCGGAACGAAACTGCGCTACTCATTATGTGCTTCACGGATCGTTTATCAGTTCGGACCAGCAACATCTGTGCAGCGCGAGCCGATCTCGATCAAGCGACACTGTTACAACACAGCGCTAAGATCCAGTGAAGAAAACATTTGAATTCGCCACTGAAGTAATAACATCGCTGTGAGATCTAGTGAGAAGCATTCACATTTCTCCGTTATTAACCCTCTGGGGACCAGAAACGCGCGGGCGCGTTTTGCTCGTTTTTTTTCACATAGCAGAAAAATAGACTTAAAGTACTACCATCATTTCTGTTCATATAGAGTTAAGAAATATGAGAAAATAATCTGTTAAATGTCTACTTTTTTTATGTGCCCACATACAATCGAAATAAAATATTGTGCTTTTGTAAAATAAAGAAAATAAACAGGGTGTGCGTTCTGCCTCTCGGTCACCGTGAACTTTTTTTCTGGAGCACGTCTCTAATCTTCAACACAACTCAGCTAAAACTATTCACCCAGCCATAAGCAATATATCTTTTAAATCATTTGAGTTTGTACTTTTAAATGATCTGATTCAAAACTAAAATTATTATTCTCCGTTTATGTCATCTATATAAAAAGAGAGACGTGTCAGCCCGTCTCATTATCGTTCTCTCAGCTGATTATCCCTGGTAATGTGACACGCCCACGGAGAGCACGCGCTATTCAAACGCAAATATGTGAAGCAAAACATTGAGACGCGTTAACGCCCATAAACTCTGAAAACACACATTATTTTTTAGTCAGATTAATCTACTGTCGTCTTGCGCGGCTATATGAGGAACAATCCTGGGACACTTACCACTGGATTTATTTTCACTGCGAGGATGAACAGATTCAGCTGAGAAGTAAGTGTTTTATGCAAGTGCTTTGTTCTAATCGCGATATAGAATAACGTAGTGTCTGTAAACGGAAAAATAGCATACTGTTAAATGTGAATCGTGTGTGTGTGTGTGTGTGTGAATGAATGAATGAATGAATGAATGAACGCACAGATACGCACTGTTACAGACTAAATAACAGACAACATTTCTCGTTTTGGATAAAGTTTTTACTCTAAAATAGACATCAAATAAGCTTTTTTAGGAGTTTCTGCTCATATGTTAAATATATAGTAGGCCTATGTTTTGTCAATAAACTAATCAACTAAGATGTTATAGTGTTTGTTCAAGCTATATCAAAATAATGAATCCTCAACTTTGAAATATGTATGATCAAACTAAGACATTTATGGAGAAAGACAATTTTCTTTTCAAGATGTTTCCAACTCTAACTTTGAACTGAAATAATGTCTATATGGTGAAGGGTGTGTGATAGAAGTGTCCAGACGTATGCACCCTGTATTTTCCTTATATAAATCCAAACAATCTAAAAGCCATTCTTTTTTAAATCTCCTCATTCTTTGTGCAAGGCTCCTGTAATGATATGGCCTGATAGCACCTAATAGGGCCATTATGGGAGGGTCTTTGTCTTTCTCAGGTGTGAAATTCCACACATATTAATGAGAGATCAAGCCTCCTGCATAAAGCTTTCTCAAACAAAACACGTCATTAAAAATGTAAAAGACTTTATTGACTTATCTGAATGAGTAGTCAGGATGATTCTCACATAGTTTTGGAGCAAATATTCTAGGCTATGTGATACAATTTTCAAAAGTCTTGTGAAGAAATAATCAATATGTGTTTTGTGGTCTTATTTCAGCAACTTTTATTTTTATTTTTTTCAATAACCACGCATAAACATTATTCTATTAAAAATACAAACATGTACATACATGTTGCTCAGATATCATGGATGCCAAGTTTGTGCTATATAGAGTGAATTTACACCTTTGCCATTAACATGTTTATAAATAACTGAAAAAAGCACAAATGTCAGTGCATGTCAAAACATCCCAAGGGCCCCAAAAACACTCTGGTCCCCAGAGGGTTAACCGTAGATCTCTATTAGATCAAACAGCGCTGACACCAGGAGAAATATTGTGCCGTGAATGATCTAGTAGTACTTTACGTCCACAGACCAGCAACATTCACCATGGATTTAATATAGTAACACTAAATGTAACCAGTTTGGCTGGAATAGTGAAATGCTTTCAAGTACTTCACACATCTTTTTCCAGCACTTCAAAACTCAAATATTATATAAATAAATATGTGAAGAGTTCAGATGCAAAAGCCTCTAAGTGCCATTTGAAATTTTCTTCTAGAATGATCATTTCTATTAAGCTTGTATATTGAAGTTCAGTAATTTCACTCAAATGACAATTAATAGGTAATCTTCATTGCCATTTAAGTGAAATTACTGAACTTAAATATACAAGCTTGATAAAAATGATCATTCTAGAAGAAAATTTCAAATGGCTTTTGCATCTGAACTCTTCATATATTTAAATGTTATTTTTAATGTGATGACCAAACATTATTTGTTCATCCTTCAAAGATGACACCCATTTATAAACCTGAAAGTTTCAAGATGTAGGAAAACTCACACTTATTTAAAAAATATTTTTTCTTTTAACAAATAGGAAATTTCTCTGGCATTTCTTACTTTTCGCTGTATCGAAAACGTACCGAACCGTAACTTTAAAACCGAGGTACGTACCGAACCGTGATTTTTGAGAACCGTTACACCCCTACTAATTATATATATCGATAAATATCTATAATAAAAAATACTATTACAATTATTACTATTACTATTGTAATATTTTACTATATATATTACAAAACTTCTTTTTTTGTATAAAACAAACAAACAAGCAAGCCCAGCCCAGGTGAGAACTAATGCAATTAGTTACATTTTTAAGGAGTAACTAAAGCAATATGGTCATATATTACTATTAAAAGTAACTTTCCCCAACACTTCTTATAATGCAGGAAATAATAATAATTTGAAAAATTTCTTTCAGACAAATCGCATTACCAGAAGTGCTGTGATTACATAATTGTAAACATCCCTTTTTTGCATGCGCACCCTTACACACAAACCAGGATTTACAATATTTTTGATTTTGGAACAAAACCAACTTTTTGCTAAACGTTTTTTTTTAGTCCGTTCAAATAATTTCCGCATCACACAAATATTTTGTTTCTAATCCATACCCTTGGGAACCATACTTTTGTCAAATGCTATAAGGAAGGTGTGAGCTCTGTCTTTGGCCCTTATTTAACACCATCCTGTGATATGGTGCTGCTGATCTTTGCAAGAGCATGTGTCTGGAGCTCTTGCCAGATGACTGAGAGAGAGAGTGGCTGATCAGAAGGGTGTAGAGAGCGTAAGAGAGCTGGTCTGGACAGCCAGTACCTGCTGCTGCCCGCCTGTTCACACCACCTGTTCTGAGGCCGATGCGCAGCTTCACAGAGCCATGCACGAGTGGCCACTGCAGAGCACAGCCAAACATGCAGATGTGTTGTGGACTGTGTCTCATCAAGTTCACTTTGTCGTGAATTACGTGACCTCCAAAAAAGCCTATCATGCAATCGACGTATTAAAAATGAAAATGCTGTGTGTTATTTATTTTGGAATGTAATGTTGCTGTTCGAGCATGAAAAGTGTGTGCAAAGTTACAAAGCACAAAGTCACTCCAAAGGGAGTTATTTGCTATATCAGTGAGCACTGATTTTTTTCCAGGTTTTCTTTCAGAAACGAACACGTCACGGTCACAATATTCCTCATTTAAATAATTCTTGCCCAAGTAATATGACAAAGAGGGGCGGGTAGAGTAGGTGTGTGCGATATTGACAAAAAAAATTATGTATCAATTTTTTTCTGGGGTTTTGTCGATAACTATGATTAGATGATATTTTGCTGAGTGTGTGATTGTGCTGGTACCTCAAGAACTGCTGTGGACTGCTGACTCCTAAAGTTTTTGATATTTTTCATATTCTGTGCAGAGGTTAGTTCTCAGCAGTGACAGAAATTACATTTTCCAATAAGTTTAAATTGATTTCTATCTTTTATCAGCATTTTTACCTTTATATGGGCAATTTTTCCTTACCTAATGAAATGAATAATTTATGATGTCAAATTCTTACATTTCATCAATAGATTCAACAAGACACTATATATGTTACTGTACCAGTCAAATGAAATCAGAATTAACAAAATCCATCTTTGCAGTGCAGAGGAAACTCAAGCTGCATCTGAAGTGGCATTTAGATGCATTTAGACTGTTTAATGCAGCTCAGAGGCGACATAAATGCATTAAAACTACAAATGCATAAATGTTTTTAATGTTTTAAAAATCAAACATTGAATATTGATATATGGAATAATTAAAGATACTTTAAATATGAAGCTTAAACCACCTGTAGGTGGCGGCACGTCACTGTTAATGAGTGGGAACAGATTTGTTCAAACGACTGA